TGCGCATTTGACATAGAGCGTTCAGGTTTATTGAGGATAATTTCGGACTGAACCAGAACAAACCAGAACCAGAACAAACCTATAAGGTTAGGTTAGGTTGATCATGTCCATTTTGTTATGTAGCGTATCCTTGTAGTCAGTTCAAATGTTATCTAACCTCAATCAGCAATTATTTAAATCAAATAAATAAAAAACATCCTAGAAAATAGCCCAAACAAATTTCCACATGAATGAGCATGAGCAACGGGAACAGTTCTCAATAGTTCAGACTCGAGAGCAAGAACGATTCGGGACGGTTCAATACAGTTTAGGAGCATTTCGCAGTCGAAACCAGAACAGAGGATTCATCAATCCGAAATTATCCTCAATGAACCAGAACGCTCTATATCAACTGCGCATGATCCTGACATCCTAGAACCTGAATTTCGTAGAACCAGAACAAACCTGTAAATACAACTAATAGGAAACCCTCGCTTGGGAGTAGGCATATTGAGACACTTGCGAAGACGTTACGTGAACTGGGATTGGACAGATTGGGACCCCGGCGTCAAATCACAAAACCTTTAAAAAGCGTGTTACAATCTGCGAAGTTGGCAGATTAAGACTCAATGTAGCCATACTTTCCAGTTTTTGATAATGGTTTCGTTTTCAATACTTTGTCGACTCATTTATGATGCACGAATATTACTGGAGTTTTTTCCCAACACCAAATCGTTATTTTTAACACCTCGACACGTGTTTCGATCACCAATTGATCATCTTCAAGAGGAAGATTAAACTAGAAACTAACGCGAAGCTAACGCTATTTATGCTATACAGGTAAACCCTACCCATACAGGTATACCACCCTAAATTAATTTTACAATTTAGCCTTATCTATTATTTTACGTTATATGTTTAACTGTATATAAAACAATTTTCAGACATATAAAAATAATTTCACAATATTGCCTATCTAAATTTATTTTTTGCAATGTGTCCTTATGTAGTAATCAGTAAACCCAACAATATTATTTTAACAAGCTATATAGTATGCTATTTGGTATAGGTCCGTCATCGTTATTCATAATATTATTGTGTTTACCTATTTCCACACTCTCAAAGGCATCTAGTTGGCTGTTGTTGTTAACTTGTATAACTAATCTTAATGAACTGAAGTGCAAAATATGATGGGCGACTGCTGATTTTTCAGGTCTTCCATATTTCAAGTGTGTCCCTTATATCTTACTTTAATAGATCTTTTTGTCTGTCCATAATATTTTGCATCGCAGTCCTTACGTTCAATTTCGTACGTTCCAGACTTTTTCGAATTCTCGATGGGTAATGAACATCGATCGTCTGATAGTTGGGCTCGAACCAACGTTCACATAGCGGTTGACTAAATGAAAACGAACCAGTCACACTAACCAAACGGTTACTGGCTATCAATGACATTACTGTGTGATCTATATCTGTCTTTTAGAGCCTTCCTACATTACATATCATTAAATACTTTCTAGCTGTGAAAGTTGCCATATTCCTCTTGAAGAAAGTTCATGTTATTCTTGGACCTACATAAATTTGCATATATCTAAAATAGCTTTGAAAACCATATAATTTTTTCAACCGGACATTGTGATGAATAACATCAAGTTCACAAATTCACGATAGAAACCTTAGAAAACTTTGCAGTAATCAGCATCATTTTAGACTCTGTATAGCAGATGGCGCTACTCATACCTCTTGACTAAAATGCCGATACACTGGTGTAGCGACTCATTCGTGTAGAATTTTCATGCAAATTTGTCGACTTACTCGATATCATTAACCTGGGCCGCATTTTGAGAATAATAATAGATATTCAAGACACACTTTATTGTGAGATATTTACTAAACAGTTTTTCAAAAACGCAACACGTGTTTCGCCATACAGTAGCTTCTTCAGATGTTAGATAAAAACGATTAGGTACGCAGATAAAAATCTAGATTTATTCAATTCAGGAAGCTACGATATTCTGAGGAAAGATACCACAACTTTATACCAGAAAGAGGTAAAGGAAACTCCTAAGACAATAAAACTGTTTATGAATGGAGTGATGAACGCACGGTAGTGATTAAGAATCCACAACCACCCAAACTATATTCTCTTATCAAATCATAAAACACATTTCAAATCAAATCAATATCAAGAACGCAACTCTTCCTGATACCGCTAAATTGATATCGTTTGATGTCCAAAATTTCCCAATATTCTGCCAATAAAAACTATTGAGCTGGTTGAGCGTCTCTTAAACTGGGGCCACACTAGCGGCTAACGTCAATGCCCATTATCGCGATTATTATCGCGATAATTTTGAACGCGCTAAAGTGGGTGGCTACACTTAATACGGTCAACGTGAATGCCCATGATTGGCGATAAAAACGGTGTTAATTTTACTTGAAACATGGACGTCTGACGTAGTGTGGCCGCTTTATCGCATTAATTCTCGCGTTAATCTCTTTGATGTACCGCTACTTGAGCTATCGCCTAACGCCAAACGGCAATGGTACTGAATTTCACTAGTTCGGACTTCCATTGTCTACTTTATAAAATTATTTGAAATCCCTGAAACAACTAAAAAAGAAGAATTGGAAATGAATAGCTGAAAATAACAATTATATTAACCAAAATGAACCTGAAATGAAATAATTCGATAGCATCCGCTATATGACATTGTCATATCTTGCTGAACCCACCAATAATATCGCTCATTTTTTAAAAAGGAAGTGCTTGGACGTGGCTTGCAGAACACATATTGATTTAGACAAATTTATTAAAAACAATTGAGGCAAAACTTCAGTGTCGGGTAGATCAGGAGTATATAAGTTGACTTGTGGTTCTTGCCCAATACTCTATATTGGCCAAACGGGGAGAACTTTTTTCCAAAGAATTGAAAACATTAGAAGTAGTTTCTTGAATGGAAAGATCATTCCTCATTTGCAAAACATCTTTTAGCAGAAGGGCATGACTTGTTCATTTGATGACTCATTTATTTTGTAAAAATTCATATTAAATAAATATAGTATAGGGAAAATAGGGTTTGTCTAATTCCTACTAAGATTTTTATTCATTACGACCGGTTTCGGTTTACTAAACCATCTCAAGTAAAATGATTGGTTAGTTTTCTTGAGAATGGTTTAATAAACCGAAACCGGTCGTAACAAATAAAAATCCAAGTAGAAATTAGACAAAAGTTATTTTTCCTATCCTATATTTAGAAGGATATGAGTTCAATCACGATTATGACTCGTTAAATTCAGAAGAGAAAAGTTTGAAACTCAATCTTTCAAAATGAATACATTTAAGAATTCATTTACTGAATGACCAAATAGAATTAAATAACTCCCCTTTACTGAATTATTTTTTTAATGTGTGTAATTAACTGATACATATGGTCAGGTAATTTCATTCATTACATGTTTATTTGAATGAGTTTGTACACTTTCACTTCTTTTCTTATGGTTATGTTAATCGATTATTCTCAAACTCAGGCACACATTACCAACCATACCTACGCATGTGACTCCAGCGAATTGTTCACCCTATTTTTTAGCGGCGCCCATATGCAAAGTCAATTATACCTTGTCACCAACCAATTTTTCACGCACACATCGCCATTCACTTTTCCCGTCGACCATACCCACGTATGTGATTCGAGCGAGTTGTTAACCCTACTTTTGAGCGTCATCTTTCCTGCCTATGTCACCTGCCATTTTTCCCGCCATCCACGCTGACAGTTGACAACCTGACAATCGACAGCCGATGAAATCACGCCTCCCACTACAAAGTGTGCTCAATTTGCCCATGTGTGAATATCCATTGACCGTACTATAATAACCGCCATCAGGTTCCAGCGAACCATAATGTCTATAATAGCAATTTAATCTTTTTTCGAAATTTGCTAAAAAAATTGGAAATATGAATTTGGCGCCTTTGTTCCTGTGAATGTTAATTTGACAGACGAGTTTCAAATATCTCTGTTTCTAATTATTTCGCAGTGTTGAGTACCTGTTATAGTACAAACCGTGTAAGAAGCATTAAGCATTTATGTATCAAGGTCGAAATACAATCTAATCCTACATAATCAAATTAACAGAGCATCGTTACTTCGCTTACATCAAATATAGGCGATATTGAAGTATTAGTACCCTTCTAATTCCTACGTAATAATCTACATAGAGATGACAATGAACATTTACCATGAAGCATTCACATGCACGAGTCTGTTCAGTTGTGGTACGTAAGTAGATATAAATAAATGTGTATGACTCTGATTAAAGTAATTGAAATTATTCGCAAACAAAAAACTATTTGCCGATGTTGATGAAATGTAGGCGTAGTTACTTACCAGTTATATTTGATGGTGCAGGTGAAATGTTGATGATTCCGAACAAGAATTTTTTCAAAGCAATATGTCGATTATTTTCTAGGGACGAACTGGACGCAAAAATTATTATTGAGGCCTATTTGATATTTGATCATTTTAAAATCAGTTCGTGAAATTTCAGATGATTTTATCAAAACTACTAAACATTATTAACATATTTGTCTTGACTGTGATGGTTTATTTTCTCGGATTCGGAAATTAGAAGTAAAAAAATATTTTATCGGGCATGACCTTTTAATTTATTGCAAATGGTGCAGAACTCGCTTCTATTCAGATGATAAGTATTGCCTTTGAAAGTTTCAATATAAATTTATTAGAGACTTTGATCTTTGCTGAGGTTCCTGTAAACTGTATAGCAATTCTGATATCTAGGTAATTCTTTGTTATAATTTAAAAAGAACTCCCTAGTCGACGACTTGTCTTCTTGCTGGAGTTTGGCATGGAAAGTTTCTAGGATTCTTTTCTTATTTCTAATTAGGGCGTAAGCATCAAAATTAGACCATGCTACGTTGTAGACTGCTGATTCGAGAAGGTTTTTAATCTGCCTATAGATTAGTTGTTTTTCACATACGATGAATTAGGCAAATTTCGGATATGCGGTCGGTTACCTCGTTCACATACAGATGGGGCGATGCCAAACATGTTGTTTGTTGTTCGCTTCAGCCTATTTCGAGGAATGATACTCTGAAGGAATTCGACTATCAATTATCGGAAATCGTCGACTTTATGATATAATCTTGCACTGATAAGTGGCCAAACAGCCCGAAACTGACCTGCAAGTGTGGTCCAATAATTTAAAATTGATTACGGCAGTTGTATCGCAAACAGCATATGCAGGGATAACTTCAGTGAAGAATGCTGCACTGACACCTGTCGGATATAATCCAACGCCCTTCGTGGTATTAGCCAGGGGAGTAGTTGTTATCTGATAGGTGTCAGTCCATTAATCTACCGTGTAGGTATATGAGACTGGCCTAAACGAATTGTTTTTTTAGATAATTCAGTTGTTTTTCATGTTAAGATCTCCACGGAGCATCAAATAGGGTTTCAGCGCTTGTTACTTCTAGCGTTCTTAAGAAGCAGATTTTTGGCAGTGAACTACTTTCCATCTGATATATTTTGATATGTCAGTTGATTGAATGTTTCAAAATTGGATGGGATATTTGGAACGTCTAGTTTCTATTCTGTATATCTAACTTTCCACTGGTATGCAGGAGATCATTATGACTCGATGCTAGACGTAAGTTTTGTTCCGGTTTTGGGAAAGTATCTTGAATAGATTAATTCTGAAATGATTAAATACTACATAAATAAGTGAGGTAACTAATTTATGTCTCTATAGTTAGTGGTTGCAAGATATAAAACACCTTTTCCAGTAAATTTGAATTCTCAGCGTCATATTTCTGGTAATAATAATAAGACATTTTTTATTCACTGCTGTCTGAAAAGCTAGCACACTACTGGAATTATTTCATGTATGTTGCTCTCGACCTCTCGAAACTATTAAATATGTTTATTCGTTAACCAGCTGTCGCACCCCTACGAACGACAACCCTCAGAAGTCGAAACTTGTGCAAGCTAAAGACTAACGAGGTCTTACCTTTTAACGTGTGATTCCTAACATGGGTTGGATGCTAGCAAGTAAAAATCGATCGTTCAGCCTGCGCCTTGAACCACCGACTCACACATCGGTCGATTGAGAGAGTGAACTGTTTCAGCGCTTGTTACTTCTAGCGTTCTTAAGAAGCAGATTTTTGGCAGTGAACTACTTTCCATCTGATATATTTTGATATGTCAGTTGATTGAATGTTTCAAAATTGGATGGGATATTTGGAACGTCTAGTTTCTATTCTGTATATCTAACTTTCCACTGGTATGCAGGAGATCATTATGACTCGATGCTAGACGTAAGTTTTGTTCCGGTTTTGGGAAAGTATCTTGAATAGATTAATTCTGAAATGATTAAATACTACATAAATAAGTGAGATAACTAATTTATGTCTCTATAGTTAGTGGTTGCAAGATATAAAACACCTTTTCCAGTAAATTTGAATTCTCAGCGTCATATTTCTGGTAATAATAATAAGACATTTTTTATTCACTGCTGTCTGAAAAGCTAGCACACTACTGGAATTATTTCATGTATGTTGCTCTCGACCTCTCGAAACTATTAAATATGTTTATTCGTTAACCAGCTGTCGCACCCCTACGAACGACAACCCTCAGAAGTCGAAACTTGTGCAAGCTAAAGACTAACGAGGTCTTACCTTTTAACGTGTGATTCCTAACATGGGTTGGGTGCTAGCAAGTAAAAATCGATCGTTCAGCCTGCGCCTTGAACCACCGACTCACACATCGGTCGATTGAGAGAGTGAACAAAGCACCTACGTCGTATCGCCCGGCTACCTACCTATTCTTCGGACTAATCTTGTTTCTGCAACTTTATGCTCTCGTGTATATAACTCATATTACTTAGTTATCATTAATATCGCACATATCACAGATTGAATTATAGTTGTTACAAATTATTGACACTGGTGATTTGAAAATTATTGTTCTGCTAAGATCACAGTAAAATGTCGTTTGATATCTGGAATTCAGTCGTGGAGTGCGGAAGTTGACCGTTTGTAAAAGGGGGCACGCGAGATCTTACTATTTAGCAGTTCGTGAAGAAAGGAGATTGTAACAAAAAGTCATCGTGTATTCAGAGATATTACTTTAAATTGATTCAGAAGGATAGAATAGTCGGTTCCCCTCTGAGGATATATTCCTGTGACCTTGAACGGAAGATCTTTTGAGTGTTTTTTTTCTCGACAGCATCAATATAATGTATGTGGCTATTGTAAATTGTATACCATATCAACACGCCATATTCTAGTTTAGACCTCACATAGGCGTTGAACAGTGTTATAATCGTATTAATATTCTTGAACTCTCTTATACTCCTTATAAAAAAAACCCAAAATTTGATTCGCTGATGAGATAGCCTGATCTAGTTGGGAAGTGAAAGTGAATTTATAATCAAAAGTGATTCCAATATCTGTCATCTCATTTACTCGACTAATTGGAATGTTATTAATAACATAGGGAAATAAAGTTTTTGGCTTTCTACTACTCCATCTTGATACAAATCCAAAAATTAATCACTCCTAAAAAATATAACCCCTTCAATTCAACATAGGGAAATTCTGTTATATTATTTTTTCTAGAAAATGATAAGATGTAACATTTCGATATAGAGATACAGATTACCTACTGCGCCTTCTAACTCTCCGTCAACAAACCTAATTCTACAACAAGGGTGACTTTTTATATCTATAGTAATGTGTATGGAACTCTCAACAGACAAATTGACTTGAACATTTGTGTGATATTGAAACTTTTTTTTCAGATATATTCCAACTAGGCTTTGGGGCTTCAGCGGTCACGTACAAACAATCCTTCACAGTATCATTGGAAGAGTGAAATGTCCTTGGCCCATAGGGGAGAGAGTTTTTCTCACATTACAAGATGGCACAACTGTTACTTATGATGTCTATCATCCAATAGATAATAGTTTTCCAGGTGAGTGAACAGAAACATATACTTGTTATGGGATTATTTTATTGTATTTTATGTTTTGCTTTAAAAATAATTTCCGTCGATTTTGACGGAATTTAAAAAAAAGTAATGAAATTGGCCGATCTTCAATGAACCTCCATTATACAATATTTTATTTCTCACATGAAGAATTATTTAATCTATGAGAGGATATAAACACTATACAATAAATTTTATTTTGTTGTATAATAATATGTTTGGTATTTGTTTGAATGTGGTTGACAATGTTTCATGGTGAATCTCATTATGTCGAACTTCCATTGTGTGTTATGATATAAAATGATTTGAAATCCCTGAATGAATCAATAAAATTAAAAAGAATAGCAGGAAAAAACAATTATATTAAGCAAAAAACCTGAACGGAAATTACAATAAAATAAAATCCAAGCAACAATAGAAAATTGAACAATTAATGACACAATAAAAATTGAAAGATTTCAAGCCAAGTTACTTCACGACGTTTCGATTGTTAGTATCCACAATCGTCTTCGGGTGATGACCGGACATATTCCTCCGAGAGATGACTATTTATAGGTTATTTGCGTGCTTTCACCTATCCCCTCTTCCCTCTCGCCGCTTCATTTGTTTATCGGGAGCTGTCTTTACTAAAGACACGTTCGGAGAAGCTATTGTATGGCGAAACACGTGTTGCGTTTTCGTAAAACTGTTTAGTGAAAATCTCACAACAAATTTTTTCTTGAATACGTTGAAGAAGTTGGACTCAAAGGGATTTCCTACTGTAAACTAGTACAAGTTTTCATTCTTGTTAGTAGTATTTATAAACGTGAGATTAGGTACTCATTAGATACATCATATCATCTGGTCATCCTATACCGCCCATTTTACTGAACTGGTTAATGAATCAATAAATTATACTATAACTACTTATGGTTATTGGACGCATTTACGTAGTTTGCTGGTGATTTAGAGATTAAACTAAATTTCATTTTCAACATTACCAAGAAGGGTTTAATTAAATAAATAATTCATATGTCTAAGGCCAGCCATCCAAAATAAGCTATTGTAATCTTTGGGCTTATATAAGATCAACATACATATTTCAAAAAATAATAGTGTTATACACCAATCATCAGTGGAATAACAAACTCTGCATTTATTTGTTCGAGTTCATTAATTATGGATTGTTTTTTATTGTTCTAAACATTAGGAATATCTCAGTAATTATAGTGAATAATTTCAGCTTTACAGTTCTTTGAAATCTGAATTATGATAAATTTTCCCGTTTAGATAGTTTAAGAATATTTTTTACGATTTTTGGAGTGGTAGGTGATTGGGTGAACATATCTGAACTATTTTCGGGTTCAGTTTAAAGCTCATAAATAATGTAATTTGAAAATGCTGCACGATTGTTCTGATCTAATATTGCTTGTAACATATTCTTCTATCAAAAAGTAGGTTATCTCAGTTACGTACCATAAAATAATTGATTCTCAGGATAATACCATGTTGACTATATGTGATATGCTTTTATTGCTATGTTCCTCATGAAAGGTATTTTTGCAGGTGGTCATATTATTGGCTTATCCTTTTGAAATTATTTAAAAAAATATGTACCAATTACTGATTCGAGACCCTAATAAATAAATAAGTAAATAGTAAAAAACACTTTAAAAATACTCTAAAATAAATGAAAACTTAAATCGAAGCAAACTCATCAATTTATTACATTACACAATTTATATGATTAAAAAATCTATTCGTGAGATTTACATTTATCATAAAAAAACCATAATTTTTTTTAGATCAAATTACATACATTGTATAATTGTTTTTACACAGCTTCTTTTCACATCATATAAGTTACTGGAGTTTTTTCCCAACACCAAACCGTTATTTTAACACCTTGATACACCTCAGTTTAACCTTTCTATTGAAAATGATCACTTGGTGATCGAAACACGTATTGAGGTGTTGAAATAACAGTTGGTGTATCTGAACTTTTCTCACAATGCATAATATACGAGATTTGTTCATCACTTCTTAATTTTCATATGACAAATGGTATATGTTTGTCCATCTCTCTCAAGGCTAACCTGTGGTGGAAGTACATGCTTCATTACACATTTATGTGGATGTTTATGTTGAGAAAAGAAACACTAATATAATTGCTGCATTTTTATTTTTAATTATTCAGCGCTATGGAAAACCGAACCCTCCAAGGCCACCCACCATCTGTAAGAGAACTGCTAAGTTTCACTATCATAACTATAATTTTAATACCACCAATATTATCACCCATTGTCATGTCATTTCAGGCATACATGAACCTGTTCAACGCCAAAAGTCAAAGCAGTTGCCCTGGATGTGACACCAACCAAAACAGTAAAATCTTTCCCTGTTTCGGTTTATCGCTCATAGCTGCTTGCTACACTGGCTTTCTGCTTTCATTTATTTAAGGCATCTAGGGTCCAGCTATCTTTAGAACGCATCCTAGAAGCACTATGCATCCTAGAAGCACTATGAAGAATATCAGATAAAATGACAAATCTTGATTTTAATTTAACTTACTTACTGGATGTAAACCTTAAGTATACTCTGGGTACCTATTCAACTTGTCAATCTGATCTATGTATATAATAACAGTTCGAGGCACTGAAGTAAACCTCGGTAGTATTAGATTATATTTTATTTGAAGGTTATTCGACCCAGCATCTCTCTCTGACTGTAGCCTATAATAAGCCCTGACTAGCCCTTGAACATTACCTTAATTCATACTGCGGACGGAATACTGTTCAAGAAATCAGAGCTCTCGGTGCATCAAATAAAAGTCAATGGGTACCCATTATCTTTTGGAAAGACCTCCACCATCTGGATCTTGGCACATGAATCTATATTTTGTCAGATACCCAAGCACTGAAATCATTTATTAATAAGTTCTCACTGATTTGGGACTGCAAAGCACCCTTGAAACATCTGATAGAAATAATTCGAATTACTTTGATGTGGGTACCAGGACATGAGGGAATTAAAGGAAATAAAGAAGGGAGCCGGTACCTCTTTCTCTGAACCAGAACCTGTGGACTCTCGAAAAGTCATATTAAAGAATAATTTTGACAGGAATTTGATTAACTACGATATCACTGGACTAAAGTGACAGAACAAAGACGACGCGAAAAATATGTCCATTCTCATCCCCAAAGAAAGCTGACAGCTTCTAGGTTTGGGCAAAACAGACAGGTAACGGAACGAGTTGGAATCGGTAGGTACTCCTTACCGATACTATTCACTGCTCTTCACAATGGGCAGATCAGACATTGAGGATTTCCGCTCCTGTGGCTGTTCCGAACACTTTTAGAGAGATAACCTTAAAGCCCTGTGACATCAAAGACCTCCATTCTCCCAGAAAACTGTTTGACTATGCGAAAAGTCTCAGCATCCTAGGACTTCAATAAATGGTGTTATGTAAAAAGGACTACTACAATGTGCAATTTACAATCTATCAAGAGACATATTTTCAGTTCCTCATCAAAGAATCTGTTTCAGACATACTGCATTTTCATTCAGTTATATTAAAATTATGCTTTTTGGCGTTTACCAGTACCTACTATAAGTATTTTTTTTGTTTTCAGATGACATCAGTATAGCGATTTGCCCTGGAATATGTAATACCTCGGAAAGCATTTACGTACGCACATTCGTTCACTGGTCTCAATATCACGGTTACAGATGCATCGTTTTAAATCACGTCGGAGTATTGAAGAATGTACCAGTTACAGCTCCCCGACTCTTTAGTTATGGTAAGTTTCCCATTCGAATTACTCTTTGAGCCCATTCTCAAGATCAAATGTTTCTTAAAATATGTCATTCTGTTGCGAGTACTTTTATGTTATGGAACGAATATCAGCTACAGGTGTTTCATATAAATGGTGTTTATTTTTGTACTTTTGAGTAACCTAATATTACTTGTCAATATACCACTGCATCGACATAAATATGAATATAGGGCAAAGGCCTTATGTTGGTTCATGCAAAAGCAGTTTGGTCATTAAAGGGAAGACGAGCAAATGCTATTAACGAACTAAATAATTCACTCTTTTTTCAGCAGCTTTCAAATATCTCAGCAGATTATCATTAAACTCATCTACAACATTTATCACAAAATTTTTCATATATATTTTTGATAATCTCTTAACTCATATTTAAGTTTTTGCAACTTTATTCGTGAATGATGCAATATTATATTCTGCATATCTGTTTGGTATCGATATCATTTTATATCAGTTATAGATGATGTCAGACGACATGTGTAATTTTTTCTTAGAATTTGTTGGAATGTGATCAACCTTCGCATTATTTTTTTGTGGAACAGTTATTATATATTACATTAGTGCATGTTCTATGACCACGATAGATGCACTTATAATAACTCTGAGTCAAACAGCATACAGGGAAGGTTAAAAGATATCAAAATTGTTCAAAAACTCAGAATTATATGTTATATTCAAATTCAAGGTCATGGATGATTTTCTATTCAAATTTTTATTATTTTTTATTTTTCACTAGCTCGTATTTGGGGACAAGTGGCAGTTTACGAAACAACATTAATCATGGAGTTTTCATTTTTCTCTATGACGCGCCAGTTTTCTGAATAAATGAAAATTCAGTGTATAGTACATCTTTTCCTTATTAACAGTTTTTAGATACCAAATCAGCGATCTCTCTGAATCATCAAACTATTATATGTGTGGTGGTGTAAATTGGAATCGAAAGTTAGGGGTGGGCGCTAGATTTGGGCGCTGGCATCCGACGCTAACTTTACTCAAGTATGATCACAGTAGAATGTTTTAGTATGATATTAACTTACACTTTCAACACAAATTTCATAGTATCCCAAGGATATGTTCGGCAAACATATCTGGTGTACAGTTGTGTGGAAAACCGAATATTCGGTAATTCTTTGGAATCAGCCGTTTTATTGGATAACAATGGTCCGCCATTCGACAATCCAGAATCTACTGCTCTGACTATTCAGCCCATCTGGGCCTGGAGCAGCAAAGTTCTTTAAACGCACACGGGCCCTGCAANGTTTTAGAATGCCGTTCTAGAAAGATTCCACCCGATCACTGGTCAGCGAATTATCCGCACGAACACGTGCAGGTTCTTGAATAGGCAGGAGGTTTCTCGGGAAGTTTTAGGTTTTCTTAGAAGACAATAGAAATTCTGCATATCCCAGGAAGTACTACATTGTACTCTCAATTATTTTTGAAAGGGTTGAAAGTTGACATGAATTATTTTGATTGTATTCCCCTCAAACTGTACCCAGGGTTTCAGATGAAAACACTCATTTTCAATTCTCCCATATCTAATATATATGTATATATTGTAACCTTATGTTTCTCGACTATACGCATAGATAGATAGATAGATAGATAATTTATTGGTGTTTTATACATTCATCAGTATTTACACAAGTCAATATGTACATATACTTAAAATTAGTATATGTCAGGCATCTATTAATATTTACATAAACAATAGATGCTTTTTTGTTTTCAGATGACATCAGTATAGCGATTTGCCCTGGAATATGTAATACCTCAGAAAGCATTTACGTACGCACATTCGTTCACTGGTCTCAATATCATGGTTACAGATGCATCGTTTTAAATCACGTCGGAGTATTGAAGAATGTACCTGTTGTTAAGATCTAGAATCGCCATTTCAGTGTTTCTACCTTTTCGGAATCCATACTGGCAGTCTGTGAATATGTCATAATTCTCAAAATGATGTACAATTTGTAGAGCTATACATTTTTCAAATATTTTTGATATTATTGGTAGCAGAGATATTGGTCGGTAGTTTGTAGGATCATTTGGATTTCCACTTTTGAAGATAGGTATTACTAATGCTTCTTTCAAGACGGAGGGGAAAATGCACTCTTTTGTACACTGGTTCAGCAGTTTAGTTAGAGGGATTAGAATTAAATTTGATATGCATTTGATCACTTCAACATTCAGTCCATATATATCTCTGCTGGGTTTATTTTTAAATGACTTTATTACATCTCTAACTTCATTGTAGGTAAATTCTGTTAGGGTAAAATTTTCAAAATTCAAATTGTTTAGTTTTTTGAGAGGGTCCAAGTTTGAACTATGTATTTTTTGGATTAGGTTTTTTGCATTATCTACAAAGTAGGCATTGAAGGTGTTTGGTGAGACTGGTGGGTCTTTACTTCGTTGTTCTCTGTTTTTATTTTCCTTTATGATATAGAATCCAATAATTCTTATGCAGATAGTCTTCATCCACCAATTAGGTGGCTTTGATTATAAAACCGCCCATAACAAATCGTGAAGGTTCAATTCTGATAATGAATTTCTTATTGTATTTGTATTTATTTATTTTAGGAAACACTGACGATTATGAAGCTATGGTAAAAAATATTGCCTCAAAATACCCAGAAACACGAATTGTATGTGTTGGTTTCAGTTTGGGTGGAAATATCATCACTAAATATTTAGGAGAAAAGAAACAGAAACCATCTAACGTAATTGGTGGAATTTCCATTTGTCAAGGATATTGTGCTTTAGAGTAAGAACAACTTCATGTCGAGAATTGAATAATTTGAATCAAATAAAAAATCAATGTGTTTATAATACTTGTTTTCAGAGGGACGAAATATTTACTCAACTGGCAAAACTTCAGAAGATTCTATTTATATGTGATGACCGAGAACATGAAGAACACGATTTTGAGACACCGAAAAATACTTCTATCTGATGATGTGAAAAAACGTTATAATTTAAATGAACACGAAATCATTTCTGCAGCGACACTACCCGAATTAGATGAAGCCTATGGACGAAAATTGAGCGAGTTCAATACCATATCTGAATACTATAAATGGAGTTCAAGTAGATTTTATTTGAATGACATAAAAGTTCCTATGATTTTCATAAATGCTTTGGATGATCCCATTGTACCTTTGCCATTATTGGAACCTGTAAAAAAACTGGCAGGTGAGTTTTTCAGAGAAAAGTTGAAACTTGTTTTTCAAGATGTGTGCAGCGTTACTAGACTTTTCTGGTTTTCGTAGGCGGATATGTACTGGATATTCATTGGAACGAGTTTAGTCTGACCAATATAATTTTCATCACAGTCTTCGAAACGTATTCCATATATCCTTGACACATGACGTGAACAAGTAGTGTTAAAAGCTACTTTCTTGTTTAGTTTTATGAAAATTCGATCTAATCCATTCGTGCATATTGGTTAATAAAAAATAATAGTTGAAGTTCACTAAAATGCTCCTCAAATTTATGTTTCCTAATCAACTTACCTATTATGTTTGAAGAATGTACAGGGTGTCAATTTGAAAACTTTCGACTTTTGATATTTTCCTTTCAGTAAACAATATGAGAAATCGAAAAAACAAGTAAGTTTTATTGTCAAGGGGGGCACTTTCAAATATATGTGTAGCCCTCGTGGTTCAATTCCCTAGGAGGGGTAGATGTTACCCTTAGAATTTTAAATGGGAAGGGGGTCAAGTGGCACATCATTTTGATTGGTGTTCAATTCTGCTTCCAATGGTACCCTGACTTATTATTTTTTTATGATTATTTTTCGAAAATTAGCATTCTAAACTAACAGAAGTAATTATTAGTACGCCTATACTGAGATGCATGGTTTGACCAGAACTGGTAAGAATATTAGGAGGTACAGTTCCAACCCTTTATTAGGTGTAACATTAATTACATCAAAAGTAGTCTAATAGTAAAACGTAGATGGTAGTAAAGTTGTGATTAGTAAATGCTGAATTTTTAATTCTCATCGCAGAAAGTGTACAGATAGCCATCATTTTTTGCTACTTTTGCTGTAAAAAGTTTCTGTTTTCAGACAAAAAATTGGTTAGCAAATTTGAACGATGTGGTAGTATTGTGCATACAGTTGTACCTGTTGGGCTGTTTAGTGAGTACTTTAATAAGTGTATACAAGTGTAAAAATGGTTTACATTCTTCAAGATAGAATCGAAATTATTATAATTTGTGGAGAAGTTGGAAAGTGCGCATAAAGAGCGGCATGTCTTTTTAACGAAAGACCAGTAACCAGTATGTGCTTGATTTGGTGAATAAGTTTTACGAAACTGGTTCAGTGACAAATAGAAAAAGACATAACCCCAGAGTACTGAACAAAGCAGGTCAAATTGGAGTTTTGGTAATATTTGCTGCAGAGCCCACGAGCTCCTTACAATCAGTATCAGAACAGTGGGGAATGTCACGCAAGACTGTAAGAAAAACATTGAAAATGTATAAATTTCATCCTTATGAAATACAGATTCTTCAAGAGCTTCACGAGGATGATTATGATAGAAGAATAGAGTTTTGTGAAATCATGTCTCATCGAGTCTATACCATTCCTAATCTTTTGTTAAACATCTGTTTCAGCGATGAGTGGTAATTTTTTCTGAATGGCAATGTAAATAGACAAAATTGTCGCTGTAGCAGTGACGAAAACCCATATATTTTTCGGGGGCATAACAAAAAGTTAATGTTTGGGCTGGTATTCTTGGAAATGCTATTATTGGTCCAGTATTTCTGGAAGAAAACTTGATTGGCAATATGTACCTTGAAATGCTTGAGTAGACTATCGATCCTCTTATAACGCGCGAGCTAGAAACTCAAATGGATGCAGAAGGCAATGAACTTTTGCAGGAGGATCTGTTACATTTCCGGCAGGACGGTGCTCCACCTCGTTATTTTGTCCCCGTCCGACAGTGGTTGAAAGAGAGATAACTTTATATAGGCGCTGTTGCCAATATGTGAATTAAAAACAAGTCCCTTCAAAAATTAAAACCCAACATTTGAATCAATAATTTGAATACTTTTCGAAGTGAATTTGAAAAACTTATGAATTAAACTCAACTTTATTTTGTTCAAACTTGCATTTGCTGTAATAACCGAAATTGAGGAACATTTCCCATTAATCAAAATGATGTACCACTTGAACTCCCTTCCCATTTAAAATTCTAAGGGTAACATCTACCCCTCCTAGGGGGTTGAACCACGAGGGCTACAAATATTCTTTGAAAGTGTCCCCCATGACAATGAAATTGACCTGTTTTGCAATTTCTCATATTGTTTACTGGAAGTAAGATATTAAGAGTGGAAAGTTTTCAAATTGACACCCTGCATATTGCTTTCAGTTATGTCTTTGAATACATTTTTTCTCAATAGTGTAATTTCTTCTCTTAGGGGAAAGTAACAAGACAAGTGTTCTCCCATCATGGAAATTGATTTCTAAATCTTGCTTTTACTTCCTATATATAACCAACACATCTAAGAACGATAATTCAAAAAAACAACAAAACTATTCACTTTCAACATAATTTGTACTCAGAAATAAATTAAAAAAGTTTATAGAACCGACATCATTTCCTGTGTAAGCACCCACAAAAAGTATCCTTTATATTGGACTAACTAAATAAAAAGTATGTTTTGTTTTGACAAGAAACTTTACTCTAGTTGAACTAAATAAATATTTTTTTTTTCAGCTGAAAAGAGTAACACTGCCTACATAGAAGTTGCACACGGAGGACATTTGGGCTTTTATGAAGGGGGCCTCATTTACCCGAATCCAGTTACATGGTTAGATAGAACACTTGTTGCTCTAGTAGGCTGTTTGACTCTTAGTTCTGATGAGTTAGCATTGAAGTCTGGGAGTGACATAAAAGTGTGACTGCAGTCTTCTTTTTCTTATTTGGATGCTATCAAAATTGTACGGAAGTTAATACACGTTACTTGGTACATAACTTATAACAAACTAACAGGAGATTCCGCACAAACCTCGACATTTTGGCAACTATATTTTACTTGGAAAGAATAATTAATGACTCTCAATTTGATTTTTGAATGGAATGAAGTTATGATTTTCAAGAGGAAACAACTCATTTTTGTCAATCCAAAACTTAAAACTAGGAGAAGTAGTAAAAACAGAAACGGTGTTAATAGGTGTTTTTGAATGTGTAGCAAAATCAAAGTGAATTATATATATATAAATGTATTTAGTAATGAGTGCTCTCATTTCATGCACTATGTTATAGTTGGGCTAACATTTCACAGTTTCGACTGATTTAATACTAATTTTTTTCCTAAACCGGTTATCTAATTTTCAGATTCATGTTTTCCCAAAGTTCTAAATGTTCAATTTTCTATGAAGGTGAACTGTTTCACATTTTGCTCATTTTTTATACACTCCCAAAAACCCAACTATATACAGCATCTGCGTACTTATTGTGATACATAATATAGTCATTGTTGTAATGCCAAATATTATTTGAATATTTTAATATAAATTTCGGGACCTATTTATTTTTATAATTTAATAAACCAACTCTAGAGTTAATAGTTATTATTACTGTAGTTATAATATTTTATTATATGATGTTTTAGGTATGTATTGAATAAAAATGTTGATATGTATGTATTTTTTTGATGGTTATATCTTTATACATGAATTACTAATTTTAGGGTTGTTGACCATCATCTATTTTTACACCTATGGAATTAAGATAATTCTGTTATTCCTGGTGATTTCATCTGAAGGGTGGAAATAAGGTGCAAACAATATCATATCATCAACTTTAAATAACAGACATATGATACTCCTGGAGGATGATTCAAAGACATGAATATCACATCTGAGGGGGGAGAAGTGGAGTGAAAGTTTAGAAAATTAACATTATTACCAATTGACTTTGTACATCTATAAAATGAAGATATATTATTCTAGCGGTTTAATGAATGAACATCATGTCTGAGATCAAATGAATATTACAAGTAGGAGTGGGGTCGTTTGGGGCGGTGGAATGCCCCAGAAATTGGACCCACAGTTAGTCCCTTTAGGGTTCTGCGCCCCAAAATGCCCCCCCACAACTTGTCGATAAGTATATGATGGAATTGGCCGCTACTTGATAAAAACCCATAACTAACGTATTCAAAAAACACTTTATTGTGAGATTTTCACTAAACGATTTTACAAAAACGCAACACGTGTTTCGCTATACAATGAAAAAGCCATTGTATGGCGCAGAGGAACTCTGTGAGCAGGCGGATAAAAAGTATATTCAAAGATGTGTTCTAAAAGTAACCAAAAATCTAATTAGGTGGTTTTTGAATCAGTACTTCTGAAAATACAGTTAGTTATACAACACCGCTTCCTGAAAACCAAACGTAAAAATACAAGCCGTGTTGATAGGGATATTTGGCAGATCACATGTTTGAAATTGGAAAATTTGAATAGGTGATTTTTAAAAGTATCTTGGCCACTTCAATGGTGTTTTGAGATAAAACAAAAAATTTTTTAAAACAAGTTTTTGTAATTGAATAGTAAAAAATATTTTATTCTACATACCAAGATGAGTAGAATAATCCGATCTTCATTTTCCTCCACCGATTCATCATAACTTAAAAGTAACTCTGCAAATAAGCCGTTAACTTTTGTATTCATTTCAGTTTCTATAACATTAATTAATTGCCAGATATACAGTCACAATGTATGATTTTCATTGACTTATCAATAACACACTTGACACAACCATATTGTTTCAAAAGTAACCAACATTTTTCAGACAATCACTATCATCATAGTCATACCAATAATGGTATGACTCAATTATTAATTTTTGAATAGTAGGCAGTATACATGTTACCCTTGAGCTTCAGATAGTTGCACCAACATTAATGTTAAACAGTACATTCTGAACCAATGTGATGAAATTGAACACTTTCTTCTCCATCATAGCATACCTATCAAAGAATTTGAAATGAAATTTACAGGTCAGTGATGTTAATGAAATTATGATAGGTAGATGAAATCTTTAATTAGTTCCCAGTTACATCAACTATCAATGAATAAAACATAAACTTAATTTTGCTTTGGGGTAGGCAAAATAGTAGCTTTCAAACCAATTCTTATAACCATAGCTAGAGACAGTAAACATATTACTCCCGCAGGCATAATTTTATGTGTATTGTAAAATCGATAACCCATGAGACCCCCAAGAATCGAACTTGTTATAAGTTGTACGGTGAAATTGGAGGGATCCCTACTGACTTCAACTGCACCATATGCTAGTGCTCCACCAAACAACAGACCAGCTCCCAAAGATGGAATGGAACCTGAAGAGACAAATAATTGGAAAGAATAAACTAATTTACTAAGATTCTCAATACTGTGTGCATGTGTGTTATTTGAAACATCAAGTTTCATGGAAATTCAAAGGAAAATATTTGTCAAATGAATATGTTGATGATAATTTTTTAGTAGTCTTCAGGAATCAAACTGCCTCCACTGACCATTGAAGAATGTAATTTATTTTTGGGTTTCTTGCAGATTGGTGACTAATGGGCAATTTCCTTTTATTACTGGACTAATGTAATGGTAACTGGCCAAAAAAGTATAAAATTGTAAAAGAGATCCCTTAAATAAAAAGTGGTGTAATAACACTTCCAAAATACAAATCATGAAATTATAAAGCAACAACATTTGAGAATAGTGTATTATATACCAAGGAAGAAACGTGGCCATTATTCAGGAGAATGAAGTCTGTCGACGCACACTGAAAATGAGCATCAAATATCATTCAAGCGACTAACGGCCATTTCTTGCTAGTAGAATACTAGACTTTTTCTATGATTTATAACAGGAATATTTCAAAATAAGATTCATATGTGAAGAATATCCCGAATAAAATACCATTGAATTTACTAACAAGAATTAACCTAAAAAGGCATGCAAAACTAGTTCCTATTCTTGTTATTGATTTCAATTTCAATTGGTTTGATCATTTTGTGAATACATTTTCAATACAAATCATGAAATCATAAAACAATATTGAATAAAAAATCTACCATACATAAGACTTGAACCTAGAACCACTAACATTCAAGTCCAATGTTCTAGCGACTACTCCAAGAAGTTTACAAAGTGATGTGACATGAAGTTTAAAATTATTAAGTAATGAACTTTCGACAACTATGAGTTTTTTTGCCACATTACAAATTTCTGGTGGGTTTCTCATTAGAAACTATGTTTCATAATGAAATGTCAGTAAATAATAATAATAATAATAAATTTGACGTTGGAGACCATATTTTGGAGTGAAAAATTGTCAAGGCTTACTTATGATTGAAAATAATTGAAACACAAGTACGGGAAAATTATGAATTTGTGATTCACCTCTCATCTGTAATCGGCGTTGAAAGTAGTGAGTTATGAATCTGGACAACGTTTTTTTCAAAAACCATTAGAAAAATTAGTTTCATTGCAATGGATAGCCCTGTATTTCTACACATTATTCTCGGGATCTTTCTTTTACAAAAATATGCTTCTCTATTTCTTACCAGCTTTGTAATAACCAAATATTCCACCAGCAGCCACTACACCAGCATACAATAAACCAACAACATCTAAAGCCATTTTCACTTGTTTTTGAAAAATCCCAAAATTTCCTGAATGTTTCTGACCTAAAACAATTGACAGAAGAAAAAGATGACGATAAAAATGTCAAGTCACTGGGCTATTCCGCTACTATGTAATACGTAATTTACCAAGAACTGAACAAACCTCAGAGTTTTTGTTACTCTGAGGAACAAACCATCGGGTTGACATTTGACATTATTATTACATCACTAATAATTAGTAGGCATAGTGTTTTTTTCCATTTTGCCACACTTCACACTATTGCACATGAAAAAATAAATAGATAGAATGTATGTTCCAACCATTATACAAATTGACAGAAATGACAGAATATTTGTCTCTGAATTTTCAATACTTTGATGATACTGACAGAGTACCTAGGCATGGTAATACGGTCTTTAGCTTTTAATGTACATCTTAGAAAACAGAAGTTATTTGTTCACTGTTCTTCTAGAATTCATCTAGAACAAACCATAGACATGACAATACGTCACTGTAAGGAACCATACACCATAACCCATAACAACTAACAACTCGGGTCCCTTAGATCCTGCTTGCGTTTTGTGAATAACAGTTGAGTGTTTGAATTTTACAGCTGAGTTTTACTGTGAAAAATTGTGAGTGAAATATTTCTTGCATATTTCTGGTAAGAACATAATATGTACCTACTTTAAAAATATTGAATACATACAAACAATTTCGCTCTGTCTATTATAACATCGACGTGAATTCAAATTGAGAAATTTCTATATTTTCTGGCCAAGAAATATTTTGTGTTTTAATATTCAAAATATACACAAAAATAGTTATAAATGTTTTTTCATCTGATTTGAACTTGAAATGGCGCATTGAACAAATTTAGTAGTTGTAAAGTATATGTAAAAAGTGCCCCCCCTCCTCTTAACTTTTGAACGGCATAAGATACCAATGTTGGACAAAGATTACGTAAAGATGCATTAGTTTTAGTACATTTCCATAATAAAAATAGTAGTGGGGCATCACTCGGCGCTGATACTCAAGTTTGAAGTCGATTCTAAGAGGAAATAATCAAATAATCAAATAATTCATGTTATGAATCAACATTCTACTAGTTGTGTGGTGTAAATCGGACTCAGGAGTGGGGGGCGGGCGCTAGATTTGGACGCTGGCGTCCGACGCTAACTTCACGCAAGTCTCATCATTCACTTTCTGGGATAATAGTGGAATCTGTTTATAAATTCGTCTATTACATTATGGAATATTTCTGCGATAATTTCGTGATAATGATAATAATACCTGACAAAATAGTGAGTGCCTTGAACAATTAATACCACTCCAGATCCATTCAGCAATTCAAATGACCAATTGTAAATTTCGCACTTGTTACAAAGTAAAACTTGCAAGTTTATTAACGATTTCAAAAACAGGCACTTTTGCCTATCACCAGAAATGCGTTGCGCGTTTCACCAACCAAGTTGGTGATTTCTTCACCACTGGAAGACGCAAACTGGGTCCCATCAAGATGAGTATTGTATTTCTGGTGATTGGGAAAAGTGCTTGTTTTCGCTTCAATCTACGTCACAGTTCGATAGTTAGTTGTCTTTTTTCAGTCAGATGATGGGCCTCGGACCCCTTATCCTTTCAGCTGTTTGGGTGTTGGACTGTGTACTTCACTAGAAGCGTCTACAGTTGCCCTTGGGAGACCTTCAGGAGATTTACAAGCGTTCTCTGATGTTGAAACGGCTCTCTAGTGCGAAACGTCGCTTCTGACTGTGCTTTTTCCGACAGGTCTTGGATTTGGGGGCTGTCGGTTTTCATTAGGCCTAGCTGAGGACCTTTTTTTGTTTTCGGGGCGTTCAGGCGGGCACCCGTGGAAACTCGCTGGGTGTTCTCCCTTGCAATTAAAGCATCGCACGGGCGAATTTTTGGGTCTTTTACATTCTTTTGTTAAATGCCGTCCGGCACATCCAACACAGACCGGAACTGCTTTGCAGTTTCGTTGTGTTTGTGCAAACTTCTGGCAACTGTAGCACTGTCCTGCTCTATTTCTTGGTTTTTGTGTTTCATCGCTCACGCGCACATTTTTGATTTCGCTGACTTCGTATATGTTGTTCTGGCTCCTCGGTACCAAAACAAACACAAACGGGATCGGTGTCTTGTTTGTGTGTTTGTGTGTCTATTCTGTAGATAGATATCTACATTTTTTTGTCAGAACCGTTGCTGAGTAAGTTTATATTCATATCGCCAAACGTACAACAATCAATATGTTGTTTAGCCAGAATGTCAAGTTTGGAATCCAGATAATGTAGAAATCTGTTTTTATTTTCACTGGGAGAACGGGAAACTACTGCAATTTTCAATAATTGTGCTGTATCTGTCTGTATCTGTAGAGTAGGGAGGGTGAGTGTAAGCCCGCTCACTTAGGCCACATGTGACCCATTGTACATCCTCCCGNGCGACTACACGGGGTGAAAGACCCCATGCGCGTCCCACTGTCCTCCGACATTGCTCATAAGCCACGTATGCTCTTTTTGCTCTACTCTGTAGATGAGAGTTCCATGTTAGCTTCTTGTCGAGGATAATACCAAAGTATTTCACCTCTTCAGAGAAGTTTAGTTGGCTTTTGAAGATTTCGGGAGGTTTTAAGCTATTTAAGCTTTTAAGCTATAATTGTGCTATTTTAACAGCCAAAAAAGAAAATTGAGATGGTTCGATGAACCTTTTTGCAAAGTGCCCCCAAGAATATACCACTGTACCAAACAGCCTGATAATTATTATTACAAAAAAAGAGGAATACCTACAGGTAAATTCTCAGATTCCTATAGGTAATACTTCAGTTAAAGTATTTCTTCACCTTATTTATCTTATCTTATATGTTTTTCAACACGTTTGTTCTAAAATGAAAGATAAATAAATACCAAGAAAAAATATTTCAGTTTTTTGGCGCTAAATTCAAATTTCCAAAATCTTTCAAATATCCAAACTTCAATATCTCACAAATTTTTGAAGATTTGATTCATTTCAAACTCTTAACATGAGGAAAAATGACAAATAAAACTTTTATTTATAACTAATGTTGTTACTGCAGTTTTGTACTATAAGGACATCTTCAAACAATTAAGAGTTTATTGTTTGAAAATGTCCTTTTAGGACGAAACTGCAGTAACAACATTAGTTAACAATAAAAGTGGCAAAAAACATAGAACGTTTTATTTACCATTTTTCATGATGATCTCCTACCACGTAGTAACTCTATAGATACTCCCCTAAATCGATTAAAATTTCGAGGTGCATTAGACGGATTCCTGAATCTACCATTTTTACATATTGTTATTAAGGCTACATCATAAAACTACATTATCAGCGAGTAACATGGACTGTAATGTTGATTAGATTGTTAAGGGGCTGGCCTGGCTCACTGCCACCTTTGTAGATCTATTGTGATGTTCCTTGGTTACGAGAGTTCTTCATGTAGCTTGAACTGTTTGATGAGACTCCACAGCCTTGATATGGGCTCCTTCATATAGCTTGTTGCTATATGAAGCTGTTTATCATTCCCGCATCCCCCATGTCTTAGCCTTTGCATTCACAGAACACGTGTAGTTCAATAATGTAATATGCTATGGTCACCGTATACGGTGCTATAGTTTACCTCGACCGACGCACAACCGCCCGGCTAGTCTAATTAACAAGTTCAAAAACATGAAAAATAGAGATAAAGGTCCTTAAAATATGAGCGATAGCTCATTTGATTCGGAATCACCTCTAGAAAAATGTTTTTTAAGGATTTTGGTGCATGTAAAACATTGCTATTGTTATTAACAAAATGAGATTAATAAAAATGGTATTTGGTTTTTCGTTAATAACTCAAAAAATATTAATATTTAAGCCATTTTGAAAAAA